ACCCTAAATCTATGAAACTATGAAACTATGAAACTATGATCGCCTGGCAGGGACATCACAGTCATCCACCTGGACCTCACAGGGCAGTGGCTCATCACACCACGAGCCTTCATGGCCATGAGTGACCCACACGCCCACTCAGCATGCTCTGCAGCCGCAAAGTGTGTGTGGTTGTGTGTGTGTGTGTGTGTGTGTGTGTGTGTGTGTGTGTGTGTGTCCTGGATGCCTGGGTTCCGTCTATGCGTGTCTGCGTATGTGTGTCCCAGATGCCTGCATTCTTTGTGGGTACTGCACACGCATACACACAAAACCCAGGCATCCAGTGCACAACTGGGCCACCATTTTTCACACAGCTGATGAGGACAATGCCCACCTCTAGCCAAAATTCCTGTTCTTTGGGGTGAGGGAGAGTGGGTACTATGTTCCTAAGGTCCCTAATTTCATTATTAGTGACATCATCACCCCTTCAATCCTCATCAGGGGCCCGGCCTATCTCCTTCTCCCTTGGCTCATGTGGCCCTATGGGGGCAGCTGGAATATCAGAAGAAGCACTTCAACTATAGACCAGGCCTGGCACAGTGAGCATACATGGCACAGGCATGGGGGAGAAGGCAAGTCCCCCACCAATGTGAGTAGTCCCAGCCATGTACAGTGGCAGGTTGTCTGGATCTGCAAAGCCCTGGCTGAGTAGCACCTCACCTGTGGGTACCTAGAGCCCTCCCCAGATGAGTAGAGTTAGAGGGCTTCAAGTGCCTGTGCCCTGGCACCCGGCCATGGATCTCCTGCCACAGGTTCTTCTGTCTCTGTCTAATGGGCACTGCTGGCACACGGGTCTGCTTGCAAAGATAACAAGAGTCCTACCTGCATGGGTGTTTGATGTTGTCAAACTGTTCCTCCACAACAGACAATTCAGGCTGCACATGGGTGAAAAGACAAGTACTTAGAGAAGACAGACCAACAGCCTGTGCTGACAACATCTGCTGTGGATTCCAGGCCCAGATTTTCTCAAACTAGAACACATTCTGAACAGTGATGTCGCAAAACTGGCTGACTACTTCAAGATGTGGTGCCTCTAGCCAAGCACCAGTAAGACAATTTCCAGCAGTTTCCACCTATGCAATGCCAGTGCTGCCCAGGAGCTGAACATCTACCTGGATGGTCACAGACTGAAGCATGAAGCACCTGTCTACATGAGTGTGATGCTGCACTGGACACTGAGCTATCATGAACACTTGAAAAAGACAGCAAAGAAAGTTAAAACCTGCAACAACTTCCATAAGCCGGCTGGGTCATCATGGGGTGTAAGAGCCTCAACCCTAAGGATGTCAGATCTTGCAATGCCACACGCCCTGCCTGGGCTGTAAAATTCAAGGGTCTGTAGCCCACATGATGCCTTAAGATCACAGAGTGTATCTCAGCTTGCCCCAGCTGGGAGGTTCTGTGTCCTCCATCAAACACATCCTCCACACACACTAAACTACCTAACTGATCATCTACTAAGTATCCGATCAGTGATCAAGAAGATGGGAAGTCGATCTGCATTGAATGAGAATGTATGATATAACAGGAGCTTCCCTCTGAAAGAAAAAAACATGGGCAGGATGGCAAATATTTAGGGCCCAACTCATCCACCTGTGCTTTACACCCTTATAACATGGAAGACTTTAGTATAGTGGATTCTATTAGTGGCATGTTATAAAATTTCAACCCCAAATAGTACTCGCCAACTTTTATTAATTTTCTTTTTTTTTAATCTTTACTTTTTCTTTCCCAGCTTTGTTTGTGCCTCAGGATATTTTTACAATAGCAATAAGATTTGTCCCTTGATGGTGGGATATAAAGCCAGGTATTTGTAGTTCCATCTTCTTTGAAACTCAAG